TATAGATAAATCACGTTTTATCAAAAAGTAAACGAAAGCCAATATCGACATAAAGACGATAAATTACTCAGATTCAGTGCGAAGTGTGTAATATTGCCATCCTACGTTCTAGACGACTCCCTTTTTCATAACTTTTAGAAATAGTTCCGAATTTCCGATATCTTTCTAAATCAGCTTTGAAAATACGCTAAGCTAGTTTTACTATTGTGAGAAAGGAAGTTTTCTATTATAATTCTGGAAAGGATATCGATCGGACTTCATTATGTTATACGTAATTTTGACTCGAATCGCACTATGCTAAATTCAAGCGTCGTTACATATCGAATTGCAACTTCAAAGTCACAGTTTAGTTAAATTTCAACAGAAAATTTGGAAACTCGTAATTTAATCAAATGTTCCCATTAAACTGGATGGAAACGAAGTAATCTAACACGTATGTAAATTTGATCATGTATCATTTTGCGTCTTTAAATTTGGTGTAATATCAAAGGTAAATTCAGACCTAAAACCCGAAATATTGGAATATTATGGTTTTAAATCCCAAATTTAATATGTAAATCAGTCCAGCTTATTGCTACAGTGCTACCAACATCAGGCACCTGAAAGACCTTTTTCTTAAGAACTCGAGGGTGTCTTGAATTAGCTTGAACACGCAATTAAATTAATTTTCTAATTACAAATAAATAATTTCTAGCGCACTCGTACAACTTTACAGTTCGCCGGCATTCCTTTACGTTGATTATGCTTTAAAACAGCGTTACTATTCGTGGCAGAATCACACTGGCCACAATTTAAACCACAGGTATTCTTCGAACACTTAAAGGTAAATCTTATTTTTTTAAACAATTGTTTTTATCGATCGTTTGTTGCTTCTTGCTCTGAGTGCCTATATTTCTTTCAGCTTATTTGATTGAGTCGAATAAATTTGTTTCGTCTGTAAATAGTTGGTTTTGTGTTTAATCGAGCCAAAATTAGGACCTAGATAAGAGTGTTCATACTGTTCATGTTTAATTTCCCTGTTTCTTACCCAGAATTACATCCGGTGTTAATTAAAAATGTGTTAATTAATTCTTTGGATTTTTGGAGGCGGTTAAGGCTTGTCACGATTTATTTTCTCCATTACGAAGAACTCATTATCACTGTTCACGGTATTATTAATTATTGGGGAACCCCCGTAACATCTAGAGGGGCTTGATAGAGGGCTCCACCTACAGATTTTTATCCACGCAAATTTGACGCGTAGGGATTGGGAACTTCCTTTCATTTTCTTTCCGGTAACTTTTCGTTCGCACGCTTGTCGAAAGCAGCTAATGGTTAAGTAAGAGGTTTTTCTATCTTTGACGATTCACCTGTAGTTTTGTGACTTCGAAGTTGGGTTCGAATTACACTCGGTATGAGGATTTTGATTGCCGGCGTTATCTTGGTGCCTGTTCTTTTAGATTTTTAGAACTTGACCATTGAACCGACGTAAATTACTTTATGTTTTACTATCCTATCATGGCACATTTTATATCTGTGATACGCGGGCATAAAGTACCACTTTATGCCCTAGGGCATTAAGTATCACCATAGTAACTCATTTATACTTAATGACAAAACAAACGAATATTTGCGAGTCATTGAAAATTAGAAACGTAAATTATTAATTGTCAATACCTACTAAATCACAAGATTGGCCTTATTTCGTATAGTTTCTGGAACTTATTGCTCATTCACGATGAATTGAATTATTTAAAATTACGTTTGACGTTTGGATGGTTTCAATCACATTAACAAATTCGAACCACGCATACTCGATCAAACACAATGAATTATTTTGTAAACGAATTTTGACGAAGAAAACTATTTGTAAAACATAAAATTGTGTATGTACTACGGGCATAAACTGATGTTTATACTCTCGGGCGACTAAAAAGCTCTCGGCCCATAGGCCCTCGAGCTTTTTAACTCGTCGCCCTCGAGAATATAAACATCACTATTATGCCCTTAATACATAAATAACTATTATTTATTTCATAATATGTGTTAAATTGGCATTTTAATAGGTTTGAATTCGCTCTGTAACCGGGTAGATAAAGTGGAACAGGTGATTGTGCATTCTTGTCTTATTTCAAATGGGACGTGGAGCACGATATAAAATGACCTTCAGAAGATACGACAA